TACATTTCGAAGTCTAAAATATTCAGTATTCCTATCCTCTACCAGAGAAAGACATGGAACTTAGCAACTACCATCTGAACTCTCCCCCATGCCATCTTCCACATCTAGAATGTTAATTCTAATTTTATAAAAGCAAAAAAAAAAAAAAGTAATTGTCCATAGTAACTATTTATATTTTTTAAAATAAATAATTTCATTTACCTTTGCTCCTTGCATTTCTCCGTTTGGGATCATGATTCTCAATGAAGTACTTCTCTAATGATTCTTTTTAGTGGTGTTCTCTGGCTATTAAAATCCATTATTCCCTCTATGTCTGAAATGTCTTGATTTTGTCATGAGAAATTTGAACTGCCTATGAAATTCTAGGTTGACTGCTATTTCCCCTCAACATTTGTTGTTACTATTGAGAAGTCTGCTGTCAATCTAATTGCCCTTTTCATATAGGTAAAATTTCTTTGTTGGGAAATATTATTTGAGAGCTAACTTTTACTAGTTTTTTTGTTTTCCTCTTTGATGTTCTGAAATGTTATTGCAGTGTGTTTAGATGTAGATTTATTTATTCTTCTTGGCATTTGATATTCACTTTCTATCTGAGGAAACATCTTTTTAAAATTCTGAAAAATGCCAAAAAAATGTTCCTTTTAATATTGCCTTCTTATCAATTCATCTTTTCCAAAATCTAGAACCCCTTTTATGCATATATGGGCACTTCTCATTCTGGTTTCCATGTCTCTTAACTCTACTCTCAAGAGTTTAACACATTTTTTATCTTTGTGCATTGCCTTCAGTAATATCATTCAGTTTATTAATTATCTCTTCATCCCTCTAATTTATTCTTTTGTCTATTGACGTTTTTATTTCAATATCAAAATATTTTTTATTCCTAGGATTTCAAATTGATTCTTTTTTGTTTGTTTTTGATTCATAGCCACATGCTTTTTTCCGCTCAAAATTGTTATTTTTTAATGAATATGGTTTATTTCTATCTCTGTTAATATATAAAGTATGTTTAAATTTCAGACTGCCATGATATTTCTAATTTCTCAGGAAATAAGTTTCCTATTTGTAAAATGTGTAAGTTATCTTTCATGACCTTAATTTTCATCAAGAAGTATGAAATTTTAGTTTACAAGATTGTTCCAAGTCTTTCTTCTTAAATCCTTTTCCAACACCTAGTTTTCCATATCTACTGCTTTTTCAGTTGTTTCTACACAGCCAACTTTTGATGCAGGTCTTAGGTTGGTGGTTTGCCTGGGAATCTTTGTAACCTCCCCACTAGATCCTCTCTCCAGCTTTTATTCTGACACTGGTCCACTGGGACAGTGATTTTGGTTTTCAGTCTGATTATATATTTTAAATATCTAAATAAGATAAAGACATATTTAATATTTTTAAAGATTTAACCTATTCAATAAGATTATTTTTTATAAATGAAAAAAAGGTCACAAACCATCTTGAACAGAAATTTTACAGTGATATATTAATGAGAATCATAGAAGCACACGAAGTCACAGGAAACACTTTGCTTTTATAAAAAATAAAGTTTAAATTCAGAAAGGACGGGCTTCCCTGGTGGCGCAGTGGTTGAGAGTCCATCTGCCGATGCAGGGGACACGGGTTCATGCCCCGGTCTGGGAAGATCTCACTTGCCGCAGAGCGGCTGGGCCCGTGAGCCATGGCCGCTGAGCCTGCGCGTCCAGAGCCTGTGCTCCACAATGGGAGAGGCCACAACAGTGAGAGGCCTGCATACCGCAAAAAACGAAACCAAAACAGAACAAAACAAAACAGAAAGGACAAGTAACGTATATGGTGTCACACATTTGGTGAGTGGAAGGTAGAAAACTACAATCCAGTTTTTTTACTTCTCTTTTCTCTACTACACTTGCTTGATCCTTGTACAAAATGTTCACTAAATTCTGCTGAAAACAAAGACTGTTGTTATTCTCATTGACAGAAAAAGTTGTCTCAAAATATCTTCAATTGTAGATTAGTTTTGGCCCATAAGGTTGATCTGGACAGTACATAAACTTATTTAGCCCACTTACAGTTAATATTTTTACATGGTTTCTACTACTAAAAATGAGAGATTTAAAATAAACAAAAACAACAAAACAGACCGCAACACTTGGAAAAAGTCATCCACAATCAAGCCTGGCAATAGTAATGCACAGATGAATAGCTACTGTGTCCCTTTAGGCGGAGCATTGTTGCCAGTTCACTAGTCCCCATGTTGCTGCCTTACTCATTCATACTCTTTGCCTATTCCCCGAGTTAGTGACCCCTGATCTAAACTCTCATGGTGCTGTAACACCATCACTGAATTGTCCCATCTTTGGATTAAAAAGCAATATCTATATTACAATGGTGCCTTATGAATATCTACCATAAACACTTTATTACACATTAGTTTTATCAGATTAAGTATTTTCTGGCAAAGCAAAGTACTTTTTAGCAAACACTTTTGAGCACTCTGGGGAGTGAGTAGGGGGCAGACACAGGAGTTCTGCAAAGTTAGACAGCAGCAAAGAGCCATGGGCACCTGGAGAACAGATGCCAAAGAGAGTTTGGGAGGCAGACAAAGGGAGCACAGAGGGTGCTGATGGCAGATTTCACTTTCTTTCTAATTGTGCTGGACATTTACCTTAAAGCCTTGCTCCACTACTGGACAGCATCAGGCCTATGTCATCTCCCTGCCCTTTTCCCATGAAGGTATACATACCTGTGGGCCTTGGAGTCTCTCTAAAATTCAGTTCTAGGGCTAAGGCAAATTACCTTGAGCTTGAAGGAATTCCTCAGTTGCCTTCTGCACCAGTAGAGTTGCCCCTTGTTTCAGTGGGCACAAATTGAGCGTTAAGTATTAAAGGCATTAGTATGCAAATCAGGCAGCAGCCTGAACAATATCATTCTATGGTAGCTGTTTAAACAGGTAGCCCTGTTTATTGCAAAGCTAATCAACAAAAAGAATTCTAAAACGAGTCTTTCATCATTTTTTGGTATAACTTTACATAAGACCTTACAATCACTAATCTGTTCTCTAAATTTCCATTTGTGCAGTCTGGTCATACATTCAGATTTTTAATGCCATTAGCCAAACCTAATAGTTATTTGGGCTTTCTGCCTCCTGGCTATCTTCAGCATATTATCTTGGAAATCACCAGTTTGAATTATAGTATATTTCTATATATGTACACATACCCATAGAGATAAATGTCTACTGAAAACCAGTAATATTCCTCAGGGAGTACCCAGATAACATGTAGTACAACGTAGAGGAAGTTTTTTTTCAAAAACTACACACTACGTTATGATCTCCTTATATTTGCTCTTACAGGATTGTATGCTGTAAGTTCCACTGCGGAACTTACAGTGGTAAGAATTAGTTTGCTAAGGCTGCCATAACAAAACACCCCAGACTGGGTGCTTAAACCACAGGAATTTACTGCTCACTGTTCTGGAAGACCAAGATTAAGGTGTGGGCAGTTTGGGTTTCTACTGAGGCTTCTCTCCTTGGTGTGCAGATGGCCATTTTCTCTTTGTGTCTTCACATGGATCTTTCTCTGTGCCCTTACCTCCCTGGTGTCTCCTTATATGTCCAAATTTTCTCTTCTTATAATGGCACTAATCAGGTTGGATTAAGGCCCACCCTAACAACCTCATTTGAACTTATTCGTCTTTTAAAGACTCTATCTCCAAATTAAGTCACACTCTGAGGTATTGTGGGTGAGGTTTTCAACATATGAATTGGAGGGAGGGGCAAATTTAGCCCATAACACCAAATATATTGCATTTGCTCATTTGATCACTCTCTACTTAAACTAAAATGAACTACTTGAAGGCAGGAATCACGTCATACTTACCTTTGTGTTCCCTATATACATCACTTTGATTCTAAAGACATATTTATGGAATTCAACAAGCTTAAGAATATAACTATGATGCTTTGTCGCTTTTAAAGAAGTTTTATCTAGTCCTGATGCATTTGGTTGGGAATAATGGGTGTCCAGGGGACTTAACTTCAACTAAATTACTCTCATAAAGAAACTCCTGATCTTGTTATATATTCAGGGATAGTGAGGAATATACTTTTCTATTTAAAAATAACATAAGGAAAGAAATCATGAGAGGACATGTAAGAATAAATATATATTAGGAGAGGCTGTAATTGAACATACATTGGTTTCTATGTCAGATAAAATAAGCCATTGTACCTTCAAAGAGTTCATAACTAACTTAGGAACAAATATATTCAAATGTTTGGGAATCCTTAGGAAAAAAATATGGACAAGATATGTATCGATGGGAAGGTGGTAGCAAGTGCCACAAGGATTAACAGACCAAATTCCACTGTGGTTTAAAAAGTGCCTGGTTTGGGTGACAAAAAGTCATGACTTTAGCAAGGATGCTAGGTTAGAATTGGGCCTTTAAGAATAAAGGGGATAAAGTGGCACAGTTAAAATTGTTGGTTCCAGTGTGTGGAAATCAGTGATGGTGAAATTATCAGGAGACAGTTGAAAAAGAAAAACCCACATAGCTTTCACAGCACAAAACTTGTAATTATTCTATTGACTAACATATTGCGTTTTAAAAAATGTTCTTTCAACTCTGAAAAATGAACTGTCATAAACATTTCAATGATAACATAAATTAAGTCTACCCAGCATAAGCCCAATGTTTTCAATGGATAAGTAGCTAATTAGTCATAACAAAATGACTTATCCTTTTGTCTAGCTGGCATTGGAGTTAAAGTTCTGAGACTTAGGTCATGAATCATCAGGTGTTGATAGGGTATTTTTTCCTCCCCCAGATAATAAGCAGGGAAGAAAAATGGTAACTATAGAGCAATACTTAGGATATTTTGATGCCAGGAATCTACTGTTCTAAGCTTATAGGAAAATTCCCATTAGCTGAAAACCTGACAGTTGGCAAGTACTCTATGTCACTTTATCATATACACATTCCATGACATTACTTAATTTTTTGAAAAATCTTTTTAACTCTAGGTGCTGTTTCCAACTCTTCACGGCCTGAATGTCAGTTTATATTTTCTTCAACAGGAGACTCAGCCCACACTTCAGGTAGATCTCTTGGGAAATACGTATCTATCCGTTGATGTTGGCTGCATTTCTTTTTTTCTTTGACTTGGCATGGTTTACATTTCTCTCATGTTTATCTTAGGAGATATATGTCCTAGCACAAAAATGCAAAGTAGAAGTACAAAGAGTTCTAAACTAGTTTCCATTTGACATTTTAAAATAACATTATTTTTTATTGCTTTGAACAGTTTGAGAGGTATGCCTCTTAAACTCAGGTTTTCACATTCATTTATTACAGTATTTCCAGACTCTGTTATAGATGACAGTAATTAAGATTTTAATTTTACTAAAAGTGAATTGCAGACCGATTAAGAGGTAATTAGGTTTTATGTATTTGCTATATGCTTTCACTTAAGAAGACGTTGAAATCTTTTCCTTCTGCATGCTGTTTCTTGGCGTGTTTGTACTCAGACTTACCCCCCTTGCGTCCCCTGCTCTGCTCTGTATGTTAGAGGGCCCAGGGTGATCTTCCGTATCCACGTGTCAGATAGCCTCTGGATGGGTTTGGCTAGTGGTAGGCACTCTCAGGAGATTGGCAGGTGGTAGAAAGGAGAATTCAAGGCATTTTCCCCTCCCCCTTTGCCTCAAACAGCATGTTCACCCATACCTGTGGCTCCACCTGACTCCAGCTTCTACCCAACATGCCCACCTTGCTTTTCCCCAGGGAAGCCAAGCTTCTGCGTTCCCAAAACCCCATCTATTCCCTTTGTCCCACTGGAGTCTCAACTCTATCTATTAAATCGATGCCACTACTGTCTTAACTACTTGCAATGGTTATCTTTTCCTGTTTCGATCCTGACTGACTCACTCCATTTCCTCTGTCTTCACCTGACAGTTGGTAAGATCACACAGTACTCTTACTTATCACACAACCCCTTTTGTTATTGTAACCATCACGGAGAGTGAAACGTGTATTGCTGTCTGCAGGGCACAGTGTTCAGTGGTGCAGATGGAATGAGGGATAAAACTAAGTCCATGTAGTGGAAATAGTAAGAGTGGAAGGCACAAAGTTTGACACATATTGTATATCGGGGCTCTGCCTTCGCACATAGCCCACGATATGGGTCTTGTAGAATGAAGATATGATGAGGAGTGTTGGGGTCTCCAATTTGACAAAGCTTGGAGATATCATTTCTTTCTTTATTAATTTATAGACAATTATAAGCTATAACCAAGTGCCAGGATCTTTGTCAAGCACTACGATGAGGCATGAGGCAAGATAGAAACATACAAGATGCAGGCAGGGCTGCATTCCTTCTGGAAGTTTTAGGGGAGAATCCATTCCTTGTCTATTCCAGCTTCTAGAAGCTGCCTGCATACCTTGGCTTGTAACCCCCTTCCATCTTCAAATCCAGTAATCACATCACTCCAAGACCTCTGCTTCTCTGACTCTGACTCTCCCCTCTACTCTTTACTTATAAGGACCCTTATGATTACATGGGACCCACTCGGATCATCCAGGATGTCTCCTCATCCCCAAATCCTTAACTCAGTCACATCTGTAAAGTCTCCGGCCTTGTAAGAGAACATATTCACAGGTTTCAAGGATTAGAATGTGGCCACTTGGGGGGTGGGCGGTGTTCATTATTCTGCCTACCGTATCCCTGACATACCCTGTGAAGAACTGGAGCCGTCACAATCAAACTTTGCAGAGGAGATGCTAAGAGCAACAGGTAAACCCCAAACTTACAATCAGTAGGTAAATTTGCATTATTTCCCAACACCACTCTTTTTAGGAAAGAGTTTTTCAAAATCAGAGAGGCAGTGAGACCCTTAGCAGAACTGAAGAAACCATTCAGTTCCTAGAAAGATAATGGAAAACTTTTACCTGAGAACATTTTTGCAGCATGCATTTTTTTATTTTCATTTTTTAGGAGGATTTCTATGAAATTACAGTTTAGGTGACCTATAGCAGCAAGCAAGTGGGTAGTAATGAATGATGGTAACAGTCTCTAACGAGCAACTGGAAATAGGTGCATGCTCTGTGTGAAATGAGGGCGGAGTAGTAAACAGCTATGGGATCTTCCGGCAGTGGCTGGACCCACACACTCTGGGACATTCTGTCCACGCTGGCAGCCATTAGTAGTGCTTCTTCATATACTCCAAGGACAATGGCACAGGCATGAAAACCCCATGTGAAAGGATAGTTCTAGACTACTGATTGATATATTCCAAGGGACTCTTCCCAGTTTTCCACTGAAGATTTTGAGCAGAAAGGTAGAATTTATGGAGATAGAATGTGATCGAAAGAGAAAGGAATTAGAGGAATGTTTCTAAGCGGAAACAGGAGAGCGAACCGGATGCCTGTTCCCTGTGGCCTCAGTGAAGGAAGGCCTTCACTATGCCTTCCTTCTGTTTGGGTCTTATGATGTGTGAAGTGAGCCCTGGGGATTCTATGGGGAAACTTCCTAGGAGAGCAGAAGCACTTCCTTGGGGAGAAGCATTATTCTGCAAGCCTCAGTGTATGTTACATTTCTCAGGTCTGTTGAGGACAGTCAGTTAAAGCCCAGTTTCAATTTTATTTTTGTCCGTAAACGTCCATTTATCACCCTCCCTTCACTCCATGTGAGATTCCAGGAATGACTCTAAATTACACATCTGAGAAGTTGGACTCAAATCAACTGTCTAAAGGTGGGGCTAATAAGGAACTATAGTAGCACTGAAAACTGAGGACAGGAATTGCGTTGTCTTTTTTCTCTCCCAGTGACCTGAGGTAGCCTTTTAATTATCAAAGTGTCACGAAGAATTATTTCACCAGGAGATTAAAGATTTCACATCTAGTTCCCAATTCCAAGTTTATGCACATTGAGGGCAGAGATCATTCTCTTCAAGCCAAGAAACAAATTTTCCAATAAACAATATACCACTTTTTAAAGCATGGGGTAAGAAATGGGGTGGAGCATAAGGTCTGTGTTTCTCAGCAGTTCAATTTGCAAGGCTTGGCTTAATTAAAAACAAAACCCCAAAATCTCTGTTTTGTTTACTGATCGCTCTTTTTTCCCAGGGTCTTTTCATGTCTGGGGATGGGGAGGTTTAGATCAGTGACAGGTATCGAGAGAGACACAGGATTAGATGCTAACATAGGAAATGAAATAAGTTGCCTATGAATATTACATAGAATATGTTTACATCCTTACAGATAATAACCCTTTTTTCATGTGAAGATGCATACTTTCATGCTCATTTTTAAATTACCATTTCTCAACTGAAATAAATTTCTGCTTAACATTTTCCAAGACTGTGTAAAGAAAGGCCAATGCTATTAACTACCATTCATCTACCATATGGCAGGCTTTGTTCTTGCATTATTGTTAATACTCTCAGCAACCTAACTAGAGAATTGATATGCTCACTATTTTATTATGGAGAAATTGGGTACTGATCGAGTACATTTCTAGTAAATACCTGAGTTGATATCTCACCAGGAGAATTTAATCCCAAAGTTTGTCCCCTTTCTATAATTTGCTATCTTTTTCAAGGGATATCATTGAAAATACTCTCCTACTGTGAGAGGTGCAGTCATCAGTGAATTATCCAGGGACTGGGACTGAATTACTCAGTTGATGCTCTAGACCCCTCCTTTTTTTTCTCTCTCTCTTTTGGCTGCACCCTTTGGTTTCTTAAATTGGACTCCCTTCTCTTACATGAATGAGTTTTCTTTAGGCAGAGCTATTTTCTACTTCCAGGAAAAACTAGAACAATTTGAACTTAACCATCCAAGGTCATGAGTTTTCATAGTTACACTTTTACTAATGGAACAGAACAGAAAAATATCCAGTTATAATTTTGCAATGTTATTGTCATCACATTTTCTATCTATGAGAGTAGTTGGATATAATATATGCAGGTGACTATGGTGGGGATCACAAATGTGTGCACAGATGCAGAAACTCAAACTTGTAGATGCTTAGGTGAATTCAGCAAATCAATCACAGTGTTCTCATTGTTCTTAATGCACTGATATCAATTAGTAACTAGTAACACAATTAGCACTCACAATTAAGTATATTTGTCTTGCCTGATGTACGCTGCAGTCTATCTTAACTGAAGTTTGTTTATTTGTTAATAGGCTGGCTGGGCTGCACATTTGAGGAAGGCAAAGGTAATTTCCATACCTAGTAAATAGCAAGGAGAGATCAAGGTTGAGAAGTTTATTATTATAAAATTTATTATTTTTCTAAATATTTATAATTGATTTTTTTTAATATAATTGATTTTTGACTGCAAAGTCCTCTTTTTTTCCCCTTTTGAACACATCCTTCTCTTTAGAATTGTGCTTCAAAGTTTAAGTTATAAAATCAAAATCCTTTCAGAGAATTTCTGAATAGTCTTTTTATTTTTCCTTTAGGAGGTTTTCTAGAAATTAAAAAAAAAAGAAAACTGCAGGGTTAAGCATTTGCTTACTTGTTTTTTATGCAGCTCAGACATAGTTAGTTTCCCCACCCTAAAACCAGAAGCTTACATCTGTCAAGTATGCTTTTGTTCTCGAGCTCGAATAATTTTTGCTTCCTTCAGGATGACTTCTAGAAAAATCAATAAATCAATAATGTTTTGCTCCAAGGAAAATTCTGTGGACAAGTTTTGTTTTATGTTTTTAGAACACATAGCCTTTTCAAGTTTGCTTATTCTTCCAAGTAAGCAAAGTGTTGAGATGAAATATCTATGCAATTTGTTTGACTGAAGGAATTTAAATAGGTGTCTCTGTTTTTAGAATGCTTTCCAGATATTTCATTGATGTGTATTTTAAACAGCATTTATCCTAGGGGAGCACCCAGGACCTCTTGTTTATAACAAGAGCCACTGTGATGCCTGCTATTTCTTACCACATTCTTAGGCTTCCAAACAATTTGTGTTTCTCCCTGGGGATGCAAATACAGAACAGGGAATGGGAGATAGAAAAATAAATACTTGGTTTCAATATTTTCTCTTCTCTTTCCCCTGATTTCTACTAATATTTATGAACATATTG